CACTGGGAGCCAAAGTTATCAATAATTTGGGAGCAAAGTAGAGTTTCCTGTACAGGGACATCAATTAAAAAAGGTATTTTGGAAGGAAAGGTGCAGATAAACACTTGGTGATCACGCAGGGTGGGATTCAGCTGGGTCAGCACCAGTATCTTAAGAAATTTTAGGTTTATAGGGATCTAGGCAGGAGGATTGTATTCTACACAAACAATCTCTTCTCCTGGCCCCTTGTTGGCACTGTAGATAATTAAATCCTGCACACTGACCCTCAGCCATGTGTCTCTGAGTGGGTGGAAGGGCTCAGTCCTCACCAGCCAAGCCACCAGACCAGAAGGCTGCAGACCTCGGTCAGACACAGAGGTTTCTTTTTTCCTTTGTGCAAGAAAAGATTTTGACACAGTTTCTTCTAAACTGAAATACTTCCACACCTTAAATGAGCCAGCCTAAACACTGTGTGTGGGGAAATTCTCACACCTCAGGCTTTCCCTCACATGGTACATTTTAAAGCCCTGTACCATGGTGCCTTTTAAAGCCCACACAACAAGTCTCAATGGCTGGTTTTGGCTAGAGTTATAGAAATTCCAGATAAATCTCTTAGGGGAAAAAAAAAATTCCCTAATTTTGCATAATTCAGTTGTGAAATTTAATTATTGCACAAATTTTACCCTGATACAGAATGTTGAGAATGACCTGTGTTTTGTCTATGGAAGAAATTTCAACTCCTGAAGAAAATATGGAGGAAAAGCGGTTAAGTGGCCTTTAAAAAATGAGGTTGGGACCCACCTACAACTGACTTTGGGTTTATGAAGAGAACATCTTCATCTGCGTGCTCCCAGAAATGTGACCTGGGAGTTGGGCAGCTGAGCTGCTTGAGTGCTGCTGGTCCTGGTCCTATCCATCAAGTTGATATCCTTCTTTTCAATTATTTTATTTCCACCACCAGCTACTGGAAAAGCTGTAATTTATTGCAAGCCAGTATTTTTTTTACACTTTCTTTGCAGCCAAATCTCTCTGTGCACTGTGATGAAGGGGCCAGTGGAAGCAGCAAACCAAACCTTCAGTCTGGTTTTGGGTTTCCAGTTTTAGCTGGGTATTCTGTTTTACCTGGATTTCATCAAGAGCTCAGGGCAGCAGCTTTTGATGGGTCACAGCCTGTTCCCTGCACTGATCCAAGCTCCCTGGGAGGGACCTGGACTGGCAGGAAGATGTATGAAGGTTTTCACAAATAAAGGTCATGATTTGTCTGTCTGTGAAATGTCTGAGCAGGCAGCCTGGCTTTGTTTACACCACACAGGGCCAGGGCTCTGTACTGTTTAATTTCCAGCACATTCCCCAGCCTGGTTTTGATCCACAGCAAGCTGGCAGATAGCATGGCCTGGGTGATGGGCTTGCAGCCCTTCCCAGTGGGCACTGTGGGTATAACCACATTAATACTCTTTCTCTTGCCTCATGAAGTAGGTTTGTTTCTGAACTGGGAACCCTGTTTTGGGGAAAGATGGGCTGCATGGACTTGTCAGAGGTGGAGGAGGAACCATTCTCCTCCCAGAGACAAAATGAGACAGCCAAAGGGTACAAAATGGGCTGAGAAATGCTGGGCAGTGCTGATCCCATCCCACAGCTTCCTGGCCAGACTGCAGGCAGGGGGAGGCTTTAGGCAGCGATCTGGAGAACAAGGAGACTTGGGAGAACTCCTCCTGTATGAAATTTAAGGTTTAATGTATATGGTTTCTGTCCCAGCTCAGCAGGACCTCTCAGCACTCAAAGGGAGAGGGCCAGAAAAGCCAGTGTAAGCTTCGCTGCTGGAGAATCCTGTTCTCAGTGTGACCACAAGGTGGAACTTGGTACATACCACATGCTCTGCAGAGGCACCCGGTGGGAGCCAGCAGCAGCATCCTTGCCTAGGGACACATCTGGACTCAGCCCCCACTCCCTGATCCCCATTTCCCCACAGGGACAAAGAGGGAAAGTGCTGGTGTAGAGGATCCACAGGCATTTTTTTGCTGGAGGTGTGAAGCTGTGCCAACAGCAAGGCTTGGTTCTCAGAGGATGTGAGGGGTCACTGGGGAGAATAAGCTGAGAGCAGTGAGTGGTGTCCTGGAGGAGAAGGAGGAAAGAGGTCTCTGCAGGTGGAATTTGGCAGGGCATGGATGAAGTGAAGAATGAGGGAAGGACAGGGGCCCTGCAGATGTGGAAGGCACCTTTCTGTCACATTCTTTAGTAAGAGGAATGGCATCGTGTAAAATAGACCTGTTGTTTTTCCTCTTGATAACAAATACAGGGCAAGACACAGCCTTTAACCTCTTTAAAGGGAAAATCTCCCCTAAACATAACATTTATTATTTGATATGTAGTTCCCATAGGCATTACTAGTACTAATTTGCATCCATGTCTGTGATGGGTAAGTGGTGATGACATCACCAGCACAGGTATTTTTATTCTGCTCCTAAATTATCACAAGTCTGGGCAAATCAGCAGCTGAGTTTTGTCATGTCATTTTTGTCAATGTGCTCTAAAGAGACTGTGATCAGAATTAGGGTTGCCTTACTTTTGGTGTTGCCTAAATACGATGGTGGTGAGAGAACAAGTGCAGCCCTAATAAAGAACTCAAAAGCCAACCTGCTTCTCCCAGTGTGAAGTGGTAATAGTGCTTCCTTAGCTCCCATGTGAATGGATGTGATGGAGATTAATTAATTTTGGAAAATCATCTGAAGAGCAGCCTGTGGACTGTAGTGTTCTCACACAGCCCATTTCCTACCAGAGGCTGCAGCCACTCCATCTGCAAGTGCCTGTTTCCTGAATATTCATTTTCCTGGATATTCACATCACTCAAGCACTTTGCTAACTTTGGGACCATGTTCTGCCATCCTTGTTCCCATTGATTTCCATTTGCTCTGTGAGTAATCCAGCTGGAATCAATAGGGAGATGAGCACAGCAAATCCTGGCTATGGGGACGTGGATAACTTCACTCATGTGACCAGGGCCATTTATTTAATTGGGATTGGTCACATGGGTAAAATTGCACGACCCACTGAGGTGCAGTTACCTGCAGTGAATAAGGCTTGAAGAATTTTTCCACAAGCCATTTACAGGAATCACTTCCTCCCATGCAGGAGTGTGACAGCAGCATGGTGTAACATCAATACCCATGTCATCCTTGCCCATCAGGCTTCTTCTGTGAGTTGTGACATTGTCTTTAAATGACCTCAAGACCACAATAAATCCAGCTCAGTCATTTCTCAGAGCAGGGAATTTCTGTCCCGATAATCTCATCTTCATTTTAAAAACAAAGTGATTTGAACTGCTTTACATCTCTGAAGCCTTCACAACAGCAGAACTTGCGCATTGCTGTTCTGGAGAAGTAGCTAAACTCATTGCATGCTGACCCTGTGCTTAGTGTGTGAACAACCTTCAGGGCTAAGTGCAGTAAAATGCTCTCCAAGGACATGGAAAGCTTTGAGCGGAGCTGTCACTGGCACTGCAATTAGAAATTAATGAGAAAGTGAAGCACAGGGGCTCTGCGTGTTCCCAGATCAGTCCCTATGGGATGCTGGTTGCTGCTGGACAGGAGAGCTGGTGCATAGAAGAAAATTGTTTTGCTAAGGCAATTACAGGAGACTTCCCCCCTCCTTTAATTAGATCAGTCCTCTCCAAAGTGCACAATGTGAAATATGGATGTGCTCAGAGACTGATAGCTAATAAATATCATCTAGCCATTACATCATGGTGCTCACCTCCTTGCCAGGGCAAAACAAAGCTCCCAGCTCCCAGGGGAGTGCTATGGAGATTACAGTTCTGACATCCAGCCCCTGTCTGTGCAGGGCACCCAGAAAGGCTGGAAGTGTTTCCCAAACACCCACTGACAATCTGGCTAACATGTTCAGCAATGTCCCATCCAGAAACTGCCTTTATTCTCCTTTGCTGTCTGTGATCTGCAATGGCTGTGTGTAAATAAAGAGTTATTAGATGTACTGCTGTTCAAGGCCCTGCAATGGCTCTGTCTTGTCCCCTGAGAGTCTCTCACCTGTGGTGTATGGCAGTGATTAATGGCTCTGACCCTGTCCTTGTGCTGGTCAAACAACCCAGTGCTCTGTGCTTCCCTGAGGGCTGGTAGGGCTTTCTTCAAACTGCTGAGAAAGAAGGGGAAGACGTCTGGATTGACAGACACTAGGAACAGAGATGTTTATAAAACCTATACTGACTGTGATGAGGGGCTGGTGATGGGGAGCCTTCATTTAGGTTGAAAACAGTGGCTAAAACAGTATGGTTTGATATCAAGTTTATTGGGTATGCGCTGATTCTGCAGTAAGGAACATTCAGCCTTGTTTGACCCATGTCGCTGCAGTACCTTCACCTTTACAGCAGCAGCTTGCAAAGGCAATGACAAAAAGAAAAAAAAAAAAAAAAAAAAAAAAGACCAAAATGAAAAAGAAAAAAACGCAGTCTGTCACAAAGTGTGCATGTATAGCTGCTGTTTTTCCCTTCAGAAAAGGTCATGGCTAGGGGAGAAATGGATTTTAGCCCCAGCCATTGCCAGGACAATGGGGAATGGCTGTGAGTTTCAGCAAAGGAAATTTATACTGGTCATAACACAGAAATTTTTCTGAAAACATCTGAGCTCTTGTGTGGGTATCTGAATTGGTTTTGGAGTCTCTGTCCCTAGAGATATCCAAACTCACCTGGACAAGGCTGCAAGCAACCAGGTCTAACTTTGAAGTTGACTTCACTTTGAATGGATGGTTGAACAAGAGAGCCCCAGAGGTTCATTCCAACCTGAATTATTCCATGATTCTGTGTAATCAGTCACTTGTTAAATCCCTGAGGAGGCTTATTCCTATACCAGAGTGCAGGGCAAATCTGAATGACAATAATAAACCCAAAGCTATGCAGAAATGTGGGGTCAGTGACTCACCCAAGTCACACACAGGAAATCGGTGGCAGAGAAGGCACTCTCCGCACTCTTAGGAAACCACTCTTTCGTTGGTGGAAAAGGAAGAGGATTAAAACTCAGTTTCCGAGCATCGTTTGGGTCCTGTGTGCCCTGGCCAGGAGGTGTTTTGGGCACCCATTCAGTGCTGGGCAGCTGCTCAGAAGAGAAAGGTGGAGCCAGGCTCGCTGCGGGCAGCACACGCTGACAAGCCCACGGCACTGATTAGGAGCCGCAAACAATATCCGCGATTTCTCCACCCTCTGGAAAAGATGCGTAAAATCCCGCTGGTGGAAAACTTGTTCCCGATACCTGGGCAGCTGCCGGCAGGCTCCTCGGCTTGAGTTTGCATCCAGCGTGTGCAGCAGGAGGAGAGACTCACCCGGTCCCACCCCCAGCCGGACTCTGCCCTGCCCTGCCCGCCCGCGCTGCCGCTGTCCCGCTGGCCGCTCCTCGGAGCCCCGTGTGACACCGCCGGAGCTCCTGGATGAGCAGGGACCCCCGCAGGGGTGGCACGGCCCCCCCAGCCCTCCCGACGGCCGCCGAGCCCCAGGCTGGATCATGCAGTGCATCTGCAGGCAGCCCAAGCGCACCGCGTCCCAGGAGAACATCCTGCTGGAGCAGAGCCGCAGAGTGGCCGCGCTGAATGGCATCAGGCTGGGTAAGGGACAGGGACAGGGACAGCGTGGGCACACCCGGCAGCCGCTTCCCTTCTCGCTTCCCTGCGCAGTTTAGTGCTCCGCCCAAAATCCAGCGTTATTTTTAAATTCCCAAGGTTTCCTTTGTTTTCGTTTGCTTGTAACCACACGCCAGATGTGTGAACAGCTTCGTTGGAGGCATCAAAATATGGGCAAAGGCTCCGTTCCCAAATCTCTTGGGTTTCTGCACTGATTGAGGGTGTTTGGGGAGGGCAGTGCCATTCTCCTGCCCGGGTTCAGCCCTCGTTGCTCTAAGAGCGCAGGGAAGCAGGCAGAGGCTGCCGATGAAAGAGGAAACCCGGGGAGTTTCATAACTTGTGTGTGCCTGGCTATGAACTCACTGCTGGTTCCTGCTCTCCGGAGGCACAGCCCGAGTGGATGCAAGTGGGAAATAGCCATTTACTCACCGAGTTCCTTAGATTTTATAAGAAGGGCTTTCTGTCCTTTTAAACCAGCAAACTTGAGTTAAATCTGGTCTGTAAGCAGGCAGGAGGAGACTTGTTTTATAGCAACTATAATTAAGTTCTATCAGATCAGCAGATTTGTGAGAACAGTGCAACAATACAGTTGTTGCACTGACAGATTAACACTGCCATCCTAAGGAGCTCCTCAGTGAGCTCCTAGCATGACAGCTATTGTTTTATTGGGCTTCCTGCTTGCTGTAAACCTGAGCTACATAAGCCAAAGGTTAACATTTCTGATATCTCAGTGGCTGAAGCTTCCTAGTGCAGTGTATCAACACGATGGTTATTGTGGTGCTGTGTGTGCTCAAGGCACTCCTACCTTGGCCAAACATGATTTTTGCTGTGAACATCACTGTGTGCTGAATATATTCTGTTCAGAAAGTGTGTGATTGATGTTTTGTAACTAGGGCCGTCCTGACCCTTGAAAGGCGCTCTGGAATTTTGCATGCTAAGTGTGTATTTGGTATTTTACAGAGGATGCTAAGCAAGACACAGTCTTGCCACATGCTTCAGGCAGGATTTGCATGTCTATTTCAGTGCAGAGATTGTGCTTCTCCTGCTAAGTGCTGTTATATATTTGGGAGTCAATATCCCTGTCCTGCTGCACAGTGTTCTTAACTTTTACATGATGCATGTGTACAATATGTATGAGTCTGATTTTCATTGCTGTGAGATGGAGCTCTGGACCACAAACCTCCTCAGCTTCAGGCTTTGAGCAGTCTGGTCTAGTGGAAGTGTCCCTGCCCATGGCAGAGGGGTAGAATGGGATGACCTGTAAGCTTCATTCCAACCCAAACCATTCCATGATTCTCCATGGGGTTATTAGGAAGAAATCTTCAGGTTTCTACTGGGAAGAGGTGGTGTGTTTGGTGGGTTTTTTTTACTGGAAAGCAGTTTAAATAACCAGCTGAGAGTAATGTCCCACTGACACATCAGGGTGTGTTTGTGGTATCAGCAGATCAGAGTGTCTTACGCTGCACTATGGCCCAACAAAAAGCAGGTAGGAACACAGAAGTTAAGTGACTCACCCAAGGAAAGAGTCAGTGCCAGTGCTTGCTTGGGCATGGGAGGCAGAGCCTGAAGCACTGGGGAAGAAGAAGAGGAGTTTTGACCATGCTATTACACTGACTGAGCTGTGCTGCTGAACAGGATGAAGGGCTCTGAGCTCCAGCTTGTGTCTGAACTCTGTGGTTCAAGCCTGGAGGAGAGGAATCTGCTTTTGGCCTCCACCTTTGCCCATCCAGATTTGTGTTTATTGCATTGGTGCAGCTCTTTGGGATGTCCTGGTAGCAGGACACATTACAGATGCTGCACACAGGGTCTGTGGAACAAAACATGCCCTGGTTAAATGGATTCCTCATTCCACACTTGCAAACATCAGCATCCAAAGGATTTGGTGGGTTTCCTGCTCTCCTTGTCATGCCACAACAGGATGACTTGTCCTCCTCCTAGTCCTGTAATGACTGAGAGTGGTTGGAATCTGAAGAAAAAGAAGGAATTGAGCTGGGAGCAGGGATAGATATGTGGGTGAATATGGAGAAGGGAGAAGTTGGTTTCCTCTCCAGGGATGTTAATGAGCTGCAGGCTGTGCACTTGGAGAACCTTTGCCTTAGAGCAGAGCTCTAAGCCAGCTCAGGAGACCAAGAACCTGTGAAGCTGTTGTGGTGTGTGTCCTTCCTCCAGATGATCTGGCCTCTCATCAACCCCTGGGAATGCTGTCCCAGGTCCCATAGCTGGCCTCACCTTGTCACCCTTCTGTGCTTTGCAGGATTCAGATTTTTTCCTTCTCTCCATTAATTTTTTCTGAGGTTTTCTGTGGAGGAATCATTAAAATTCCCCTCTTAGGAACCTCCAGACCACTCATGAGCTGGGGAGCCAAGGAGTGCTGTAGCAGGAAAGACATTTAATGAGATGTCTGTTTTAACTTTGAGGAGAGAGGCCAGAGCCACCTTTGCAGGATCTCCAGCTTCTGTTCTGATGCTTTCAACTCTGGATGTTTCAGCCTGGCTCAGCTCTGGGTGTGCTCCTTGAGCTCTGCAAAACCAATAAACGGTGTGAGCTGCTCACAAAGTGGACAATGGACACCCCTAATATTTACCTCTGATGTAAATCTCAGGCTTTGGCAGACTAAAGTGCTCTCTTTAGGCCAGTGTATCCCAGTTACAAACTCGTAGTGCTGGTTTTTGCTGCTGCCACCATGACCCACGCTGGTGCTTTGCAGCACTTGGCACTTCAGTTTCCTGTATGGAATGTCAGGAGACTGGAATTTGGCCACTTGGATCTCAGGGTTTTGTTTTCCAAGCAGGCCTGAAGTGATGCCTGGTAGTTTCTTGTCTTGCCTTGTTTAAAATCCAGTGTTTCAAAGCATCTGTGTCTCCCAGAGAAGAACCAGCCCAGTGTCACAGGGGACACTGCACTGAAAAAATGTTATTTGTGAGACTCTACATTATGTTTGTGTAACACTGAGGAATGTCCCTGGAGTTGAGTGTCAGGTGTCCAAGTGGCTCCCTGCACTGTCAAGGTGAGGTAAGAGAAGTTTCCTCTGAGTTGGGATGTGCATGGTCAGCTATGCAGAGTGAAATGCTGCTTCACCAGCTCTGAGCCAGCCTCTCATGCAGTGCCACAGAGCTGCAAGGTGCCTGTTGCAGACAGCCCAGGATGTGTTGCTTGTGTTCCATGCTCTCTCCCTTCTCAGCCTGCATGCTTCAGATCTGTAATTAATGGTTGGTTGGAGGGACAGATTCTCCAAGGTATTTAGGTATGTGGAAGTCATGCGCTGCTGGGACACTCAAAATGTAGAATGTCAAATCTGTTTTCAGAGTCTCAGTAGGTGTCTGTTTCCTCTCTAGATGTCTCAAGTGCCTTCCTAAATCTAGGCTAAGTTGTGAAATCTGAAGTTCCCACAACCAGAAGGTTTGGTTGTTATTACTTGACATTGCATTGGCCTCGTAGTGTAAGAAAGACAAAGACCCTTTGGATGGTTGAGCAATGAGGAGATCCTGGCTGCTCCTTAATGCTGTCTTAGTGATCTGCTGCTGCCTGTCACCAAACTAAGCTTCATCTGATCTGCAGAATTCCCACATGGATAGGAAGGCACTGCTTGCCAGAGCAGGATGAGAGATATCTTTGTGTATTCCTGTTTCCGCAAAGGAAATTTTGTTGCAGAAGAGATCTGAAATCACTTGAAAGTTCCTGACAGCATTCCAGTTACAAGTTATGCAATTTTCCTTTCTGTGCTTTTACTTCTCTGTTGTTGGTTTTGTTGTAGTTTTTTTGCATCCTAACAGTATTTTACCTTTGTAAAACACCTGAGAATTACAACACAAAGTATTCAGACGCAGTCTGAGAAGCACACAAGGCTTCAGCCTCTTTTGTGATCATGAAATGGTGTGGAGGATTTCTAGGTCTCTGCTCTGCTCTCCTCCCCAGACCTGGCTGCCCTTGTGGAAGGGAAAACTCTTTGAGCATCATTTCTTGAGCTGTCTCTTAAAACATTCCCGCTTTTGTTTCTCCACAGGCCTCAAAGATGACAAGGACCTGAAGTTCCTCCTGAAAGGCAGCCAGCTGCTAAAAGTGAAGTCAAGCTCCTGGAGAAAGGAGCGGTTCTATAAGCTCCAGGAGGACTGCAAAACCATATGGCAGGAGTCAAAGAAGGTGCTGAGATCTCCAGAGTCACAGATCTGTGAGTAAAGTTTGCTTTCTCAGAGGTACCTGGGGTGAACCAGGACCATTATGTGGTGTGGAGGGAGGGTTTGGAGCATATGGAAACCCAGGGCACTGGGAATATTTCTGTGTCTGCTCTGGGGTGCCCTGACCCCCAGGGCAGCACTGACTCTGACCCTCACTCATGGAGAAAGTTTCCCAAACTCCAGAAAAGACTAGAATCCAAAAAGTGAGCAACAGATTATAGAGAGCAGTGTAGGTGTGTCACTTGGTGAGAAATTTAGGTTTTGGGATTTTTAGTGTGTTGTGGATGGCAGCAAGATGGAGGGCACAGGGTATCATCCTGGGTTTCTTCTTCATGCTTCTTCTTCCTCCTTCTCCATGGGTTTGGGTGGCATTTTGTAATTGGGCAGAAAAGTCCCCATTGCAGCTCTGTGGGATCAGTTATTGGGTTAAAAAGGGAAAATAATCCAGGTGTCAGTTCTTAATTGGATAGTTTAGTCTTAAAAGACCTTGTAAGAAAAGATTGTTGGCCATTTTGTGCCTTGCTGCCAAACTCATGGTTGTGAGACTGTTTTACTGATAAGAAATAATAAACACTTGAGTCTGAACATGAACAATTGTCTCAAGTGCCTTCAATCCAGACCCAGAGAAATCCAGAACTGGAACTGCCACAGGAGCAATGGGAGCAGGTCCCTCATTCCTCCTGTGACACACACACACTGAGTGATGCTGTCACCCCTGGGACAGCCAGGAGGAATCTGCCATGTCAGGAATGGTCACATTGCCCAAGCTCGGGAGCTGCAGCCTCAGTGGGCCCTGCTGGTCTCAGCAGCCCTGCCTGCCTTGTTTCCTTCCCAAATGTGTTCAGGTCACTCAGGTGCCTGAGCCCTGATGCTCAGTGTGAGCACTTGTGGTGTGTGGCTGCTGCTCCTTTCCTGCCTGCAGCCCCAGGGAAAAATTGGCATTTCAGCCTCAAAAGGGAACAGCAGAGATGTGGAAATCCAAGGGCTGACAGGAGATGTCTCTGGGAAGGACAGCCTATTCTCATCCTTATCTTAGAAACCCAGGATCTGCCCTATTATAAAAAGTCCAGATACTACAATCACCATTATATGGCACAGGAAGAACCATTCTGTTCCAGCAGCACCCAGCTTGGCACCATAACTGGGACCCCAGTTGAACCCAATTGTGCAGTCAAAGTGGAATCAGGCAGGGTGTGTCTGTTTATATCTTTTTTTTAACTTTTCATTCCATGTTTTTCTGACACATTTCTCTATATTTTCTGACTTTTTCTCTCTTATTTCACTAATCATTGTGATGTTGTAAATCCAGGAGATAAATCAGCAACATGGAAGATGCTTTATGGCATGTTGAAATATGTTAATGACATAGGTATTTTTTTGTAATGATCACAATTAACTAAATGAAGGGTGGGTCTTTCAAGGTACCTCCCTTCCTCCCACAAGCAGTGATAAGATTTCCAGTAGGAGAAGTAAAGTAACAGGGTAAAATATGTTTGGTTTGTAACCAGAATTTTCTCACATGACCTTGGGCACCTCTGTGCATCCTTCTCCACACATTTTCGTTCTCTTCCCTCTAACTGTAAAAGGCTTTGGATCATAGAATCAGAAAGGTTTGGGCTGAAAGGGACATTAAAGATCATGGATCAGGGAGTTCCAACTCCCTGCCATGGGCAAGGACACCTGGACCAGGTTGCTCCAAGCCCCATCCAGCCTGGCCTTGGACATTTCCAGGAATGGGGCATCCACAGCTTCCTTGAGCAACCTGTGCCAATGTCTTGTCACACTCTGAGTAAAGAATTTCATTCTAACATCTCATCTAAATCTCTCCTTTTTTAGTTTAAGACAGTTCCCCCTTGTCCATCACTATCTGCCCTTGTAAAAAGATTCTGTGGCTCCTTTTTTATAAAAAGGGAAAGCTGCAGTGAGACCTCTCCTGAGGCTTTGGGCTGCAGGCTGTCCCCTCCTGGGTGTTTGGGTCTCAGCCTGGTGGGGTCCTGAGCTCAGCTGGGCTCTTCAGGTCCCCCAGGGCAATAACCCATCACAACAACAGCAAACAGAAAGTCCTCAGTGGATGTTTGCTCCCTGCTCTGCTGAGCTCTGTCCCATATAAAACCAAAGTCCTTTGCCACATAATATATATCTTTCTCTGTATAATTTATCTTGCTAATATATCTCACTCTAAATCAAATAAAGGCGTGAGTTGAGAAGAATGACTTTCAGAGCTCCCTTTCCTGTGCTCTGAGCCAGCAGTTTCCAAATTATGGGGTCTGAGAGCCCCTACAGGAACAGTCCTGACCCCGACCCAGTCCTTGGAAGTGAATGGGAAGGATCCTTGGGCTGTGGCTCCAGGTATTCTGATGTTTGCCTGGAGGAGCCCTGGTGGATCCATGGCTGTGGACCTGGCATGGAGAAAAGCTGCAACTGGGGTTGTTTTACAAAGAAGAGTGAGATAAATCCTTTGAGTGGGCTCTTCTTGGGGTCTGTAGCTGCTCAGAGTGACCCTGAGATACATCAGAAAGTCTCTTTTCCCAGCCCAGTGCTCGAAGAAGGAGTCAGAGCTCTTCATTTCTCATTCTTAAGGTTGTTTATTGTTTCTTATCTATAAAATTCTTTCTCCTGCCCTGCCGAGGTCCTTCCAGCAGGACAGTTCCAGGCACTCTGCCTGCCCTTGGGGCAGTGTTATGTCTTTACACTAAAAACTACATGTACAATATTTACAATCACTTTCCAATACCTATCCCCTATGTTAGACAGTGAGCTTATGCTCTAAACCAATCTGTAAGTGCCACCATCAAAGCAGAAGATGGAGGCCAAGAAGAAGAAGGAGAAAGGCTGGACACTCCCAGATCCCTCCATCTTGCCCCCTGAACCCCCATTCTAAATACCCCAAAAATCTATTTTTCACCCCATGATAAATTCACTGTCATTCTACTTAAACTTTCATGGCTTGTAATCCTTCATCTAAGGTTGGTAATTGTTTTTTCCAAGGGCTAAATCAAGGGCACAGGGGTCTTGGGCTCTGTGCCAAGGTCTCTGAGCCCCCTGACAGAGTCTCACATTCTCCAGGGCAGCCAGAGGAATTCCCTGGGTTCCCACAGGCTCTGAGCACAGCCTGAGGGGGTGTGGATTTACAGCACTCTGATGCACTTTGGTAGCTGGACGCTGCCAGCATTGCCACACTGTGGTGCCAAGCTCTTGGCAGGGGTGGAGGGATACCTGCAGGTGCTCTGAACACATCTGAGCCTGGAAGTCAATGAGAGAGATGAGTAAAAAGTTCTCCGAAAAAGTCCTAACCCACGACATCAAAGAGGTCCATTTCCATAAAATCATAGAATGGTTTGGGTTGGAAGGGACTTGACCATTTCCCGGGATGGGAAGCCATGGTTTCTGTGGGCAGCCTGTGCCAGGGCCTCACCACCCTCACTGTAAGGAATCCCTGCCTTGTAGCTAATCTAAACCTGCCTTTTGGCAGTGTGAAACCTTCCCCTGTTTCCCTTCACTCCAGGCCCTTTGACAAAAGTCCCTCCCCAGATCTCCTGAAGCCCCTGAAGGCCCTGGGAGGAGCTCTGATGTTTCCTGGAGCTTCTCTTCAGCTTGAGCGCCCCCAGCTCCCCCAGCCTGTCCCCAGAGCAGAGGGTCCAGCCCTTGGAGCAGCTTTGTGGAATATCTTCATTTGTGGTGTCCTCTGGGCTTGCTCCAGCAGTTTCACATCCTTGGAGGCCCTGGAGCTGCAGTGCTGCAGGTGCTGATCATGAGAGCAGAGGAGAGGGACAGAATCACTTCCCTCAACCTTCTGGTCATGTTTCTCCTTGCCTTTCTCTTTTATTGATCCTCTGAGACCTTCCATTCATGAGCTTTCGGAGTGATTGCTGTGTTTGGGTTTCATTCTGGAGCTTTTGACTTCAGGCTGCTCTGGGTCCAGGTGCAGGGTGGGTTACCCCTGGCTCGTGCTGTGGCCTCTGGCAGGCTCTATCACCCCATTTTTCTTCTCCCTTGGTCCAGTGATGGCTGTCACAGCAGAGGAGGAGTGCAGGATCACGATTTGAGACCCAAAATCAGGGTGAGTCGCTGCAGAGGGTCACCCTTCCTTGCTAACAGACACTGACTTTGCTCTCCAGGACAAAGCCCTTCCAAAGCTGCAGATAAATTCCCTTTTCAGGATGGAAAAAAGGATGAGCAGAATGGAAACTGGGAGGTTTAGCAGCAGGTTTAATCTTATCTGCAGCATTACTGACAGCAGTGGATGCACCTCAGAGGAGGAAAGTCTGGGTAATCTAAGGGTTATGTTTTTTTTTTGTTTGGATAATTTCTTGTTATTCCTGTTGTTATTCTTATGACCATGTGGAAAAGCTATTTGTAAACCATTGTGTGATGGAGTACAGTAGATAAAGCTGGGGACTGCCAGGGTTAGATAGGAGAATCTCAGATGTTTGAAGTTCAAAAAACCCCACTTATCAGGGTTGTGACGGGAACAGATGTTGCCTGGATCAGATACATGGGGTACAAGCAGTACCTTCCTCTGTTGTCTTTATTTTAAACAACTGGGAATTTAAATTAGATGCTGTCTTCATAGCTGCATCCCCCTTTGGGGACAAGCTGTCCTTCCAAAATGGTTTCTGATCTGGTAGAATAATCCATTTTCTCCTTATTGTAAATAATTCCTTATTTTTCAGTATGTTCCATTTAGGCCCCAGGGCAATCTTTTTCCCTCCCCCTCAAAAGCCCTTGAAGCATCTTAAACCAGTTTTCCAGCAAGCATGTTGTGCCCTGTGTGTACTCTCTGGTTGCCTCTAGGAGTGCTGGGTACCAAGGGCAGCTCAAAATCACCTTTAAAAATCCATTTTTCACCACAGGTTGTTCCTTTCTGTGGCTGAGCTACAACCAGACCCACACACACACTGCTGCTCCCGTTATCCCAACTGATGTGTAGGGCCATGGGAGGGTGGAGGCTTCTTTGGCCCATGAGGCTTTCACAGTGCTTTCTCCCTGGCCT